ACACTAGATCAAGAAGGTGGCTTAATCTCAGCTTATCATTAAGCTAGTCAAACAGACACTTCAGTGGCCACACAACAGAGAATACTGGCTTTATAAAATTAATTACATGACCTCCCCGCCTTCATAGTCCCTTGTCCTCTGGTCCCTGAGAGAGCTTTAACATGAGACTCTGAGATTCATGGGGAGTCCATGTCTGGGGATTAGAACAATCCGGAAACAGCCACATCCTTGTCTTCTGCTCCAGACACAACCAAACAGGCCCGCTTTCCAGCCTGTCCCCACTCCCCAGTGCTGGCCCGCAGTGGGGAGCACCTGCTCCCTCTGACTGTAGGCTCCAGGCTCCGCAGAGGGGCTGGGCGTGGGGGGCCAGCCCTCCCGGCCTCCAATTCTGTCCCCCAAGGCCAGCAAGCCCAGGCTGCCGGCCAGTCTCCAAGAAGCCTCATCCACTTTCTCTGCAAATGCTAGGCCCTGAGCTGCTTTGCTAAAGGGTGGGGGCGATTTAAACACCCCAGAAGATGGAGGGACGGAAAAGGTAGGTGGAGGGGAGCCAGGGATGGAGGGAGCGCCCCAGCAGCTGGCGGAGATAGCTCCTGGGCACAGGCCTTGGACTCCAGCCCCTGGTTTCCCTGTGTCAGCTTTTCTATTTTAGGCCGGTTGCTCCTCCTCCGTTAGGGAGTTCTCAGCAAGCCGTGGGAACCCAGGAAGGTGAGGGCTAGTCTGCTGGCTTGCCTTCTTGCTTCTTTCTCGGCCCTGCGTGCTCCCCTCCAGTGCCAGGTGAGGGGGGCTCCCCAGGCCGGCACGCTCACCTGCGTCCTGCCTCCTCAGCCAGTCGAGGAACTCCTGGACCCTTGTCCCATAGAAACAATGAATAGTCGTGAAACCCTGGAAAGGACCCAAAGGTGCAGCCTAGGACCCCCAGGCAGGCGTGGGAGGGGGCTGGAGCACGCTGCGTGGGGGTACATGGGGCACTCCTGGAGAAGCTGTGAGCTAGAGGGCAGGCTGCAGAGCTGCAGCGATCAGTTACTGCAGGTGGAAATGGTGTGGTTGAGGGGATATGCAGCGAGACAGGCACCGACTCTGTCTTACGTGCCACATGGCCTTGGGCAAGTCACTGAGGCTGTGTGAGCCTCGTTTTCCGCATCTGTAAAATCAGAATAGCTTACCACCCCGTTGGAGATTTAAGGAGACTGTTTTTAAAACCCTTTAGCAAGTGAAAGGCACACAGTAGGCGCTCAGGAAGAACAGCTGCAGTGGTTTTTAATAACAAGGACACATGGAAATAGTTGGATGTGACAGGGGAACACAGGTGGAGTACCAGCAGCCAAATTTATATTCCTTAAAAATGTCCCCTGAACCACTGTTGCTCAACCCCCCTATCTTCACTCCCCCCAAAAAAATCTAAAGCCTTTGAAAAACACCCCTTGGCTTTTTGGGCCTCTGATTTCCACCTGCCGGTCACAGGAGCTGCTGCTTTCTCACTTGTCAGGAACACTCTCTAACCAGGGGTATAAGCCCAGGCCGGCTGGGGAAGGGATTTACAGACCAGACCGGAACAGGTGGGGCCTGGCTTGGGAGGTGGGAGCTGCATTCCAGGGATTCCTGCTAGACACCAGCCTCGCCTGGCCCCCGGCGAACACCCAGCGCTGCCTGGACGGGGCTCCCAGGCTGGGAGTCTGGTGGCGGATGAGGGCAAACAGATTTAGTTGTGGGGAATTTGAAGCAAGTTAGGATACATTTAAATCCAACAGGAAGTGACCGCGAACATTCCAGGATTAATTCATTGGGAGGGTTTTTATTAAGCGCCTACTGTGTGCCCCTCCGAGCAGGCACCGTGGCCTGGACAGGCTGACCCTACTCCCATGAACTCACAGTAGAGAGAGAGGTGGGCAAGTGAATGGACCCTGGTGAGGGCTAGGGTGCTGGCAGGGACAGCAAGGGAAGGGGCAGACGCATGGCGGGTGGCCTAGGGCTGAGCCTGGGGACCTCGAGGAAGGGACAGTTCAGGTCCAGGCTTCCCTGGGGCTTAGGGACTGCCAGGGACCGGGGCTTGCAGTTCTAAAGTGGAACAGTGCCAGGCAAACTGGACCGTTGGTCACCCTGGGGTAGGGCAATCTGGAGGGGTCGCCTTAGACAGGGGGGTGCCGGGAGGGGAGCTGATAGGGGAAATGAGGCCGGGGGTACTCACTAGCCGGTGGGAGGCAGAAGGGAGCACAGGGACCGGTCTGAGGGGGAGGAGCACACACTGGATGAAGGCTCTGGGAGGGGCGAATTCCAACTGGGAGAAACCCTGCAGTCGGTGTCAAGAACTGATGCGCTCTTCCCGTCTAAACTGCTCTTTCTGTACCTGGGAGACTGAGGCCAGGGAAGACAGGGAAGGATGGCGGCAAAGTTAGGACTAGAAATGGCTTTCTGGATGCCAGGGTTGAGAGTGGCCAGCTGATTCGCCACCTGAAGGCACCCTGGGACCCAGGGATGGTGGGCAAAGCACCGGTCCTCAGGGACCGTGAGGAGGTGCGGAGGAAGGGAAAGCAGAGACTCAGGAGGGGAACTGGGGACAGAAATCACCCAAACCGGCTGCCCTGGCACAGTTCCCAGGGGGAAAGGAACTTAACGCAAAGCCCCACTGACCTGGGCTGCCGGGAGCCTCTGGGCCTCCAGGCAGCGTCAGCAGCAACCTGGAATGGTGGCCCAGTGTAGGTGCACTGTCCAGTGTAGAAATCTGGTGAGCAGCTCCTGGAAGCCCTGGGACCTGGGCACCCCCTGTGTCCCTTGTCTTCTAAGACCCTCCCTCATCAACTGCCATCGGAATCCAAAGCTGTGGGCTTGGCAACTAAAGGGCGAGTGCCCCCCACCCAGCTTGCCGCCTGCTTCGGGGGGCACCACAGCATTTCTGACATGTGGTCTGCTCTTCTGCCACCTCCTGGCCAGCGCTCTTGAGTTTAGCCGTACACTGTCCCTGGTGAAATACTTATTACTAGATAACTAAATATGGCTTTTCAAAAGCTTGAAGTCCTGTATGAAGGTGACATACTTAATTTAAGCTCTGCCACTGCCATAGACCCTCCCTGGCTGTTCCTGTTGACACAGGTTGCTCTCTTCTTTCAAGACCCTCATCACTTGCTTTTCACTTATTCTTTTGTCCATCAGCCATCCACCAATCACCCGTGCATCCATCCACTCACCATGCATGTATGCATGCGTGCATCCATCCATCCAGCCAGCCCTCCATCCACCCATGCATCCAATCATCATCCATCCACCTACCATACACGCATGTATGTATGCATCCATCCATCCATCCATCCATCCATCCAGGCATTCATCATTCATCCATTCATCATTCATCCATCCATCCATCCATCCATCCACCCATTGATAAGCACCACTGGGTATTGTGTAGTTTGGTGAATGGGAGTTCAGGCTCTGCCTTGACTTCCATGGTTGTGCTTGTGGGTCCTTGGGAAGCTTCTTAACCTCTCAGAGCCTCCATTTCTTCATTATCAAAAGGGACAAATGAACCCCCTTCACAGGCTTGTTGTGAAGGTGCAGGGAGATAACATGTAACAACAACGTGCTGGAGAACTGAGTGCACAGGTGCTCCTCCTCCACTTCCTCCTCTCACCCCGTGACACCTGCCAAGAGTCCTGTGAGGAAGACCCCAACCCAGTTCAACCAGGAGACACTGAACCAGGAACCACAAAGAAAGATGAGTGTTTCCACTGGGAGGAGATGGAGGTGGGGAAAATGTAGCCAGGAAGATTCACTAGTTTTGGGGATCAGAGAAAGAAGCCTAAGTGGACATTGGCTGGGGTGAGGAGGGGTGCCCTGAGGAGTAGAGCCTGGAGGAGGGACCCGGGTGAGTGGGGAGCATGCCCAGAGAGGCTCATATTGTCTGGTTGATGGGACAGCCTTGAGAAATGTACAAAAATTGTTCATAGAAACATGTTCCTTTTCCAATTCACTCCCATTGGCCAAAGCACAGTTAATGTTCTGAGAAAACAAATCTCCAAAATATTTTTCCCTTCTCTGTAGTTTTTATTCTCTGTTCAATTTCCACCTGTGATTTTTCTGATTCTGATAACATTTGGGGAGGGATAGAAAAGGATTTAAAACTTAGACAAGTTTTTAAAGTTTTTGTTGAATTCCTTTACCTGCTGGGTTGTTTTCAGGGTTTTCGTTATGACTGCAAGGATGGATTGAAAAAACACTCAACAAAGTTAGAGGATTTTCTCATTTTTTAAAAAAGATTTTAGTGGGGAATTGGGGGAGGGGAACAGCCAAGTTGTCCTTCAATCTTTTTTTTTTAGATTTTTTTTATTGGAGAATTGGGGGAAGGGGAACAGACAAGTTGCTATCCTTTTGTTCTTCAGTCTAGTTGTGGAGGGGACATTGCTTCACTGGCCCAAGTTGGCACCATCATTGCGCTCTTCCCGGGCGAGGCAGATCAGTTGCCGGCTTCTGGATGGTCGCTCACTGCAGCTGCTGGCTACACACAGTAGCCCATGGCAACCCACTACAGCAGGGGCTGCAGCCTACGCACCATTGCCCTCGACTCATGGCAGCCCAGCTCCAGGTTGAGCTGTTGTTCAGCATCTTAGCTGTGGGGGGCAGTGTCACTGGCCCTCATATGTGGGATCCAAACCGGGGTCCTCTAGTGTCCCAAGCCAGCTCTTAACCATCGCACCATTCGGCCGGCCCTGTCCTTCAATCTTAGTTGTGGAGGGTGCAGCTAGCTCAGCTCCAAGTCCAGTCGCCATCCAGCTGCCTGTCAGCAGCTTTCGGCCGCTCAGCTCAAGGTGCCGTGTTCAATCTTAGTTGCAGATGGGCATAGCCCACCATCCCATGCGGGAGTCGAACTGGCAACCTTGTTGTTAGGAGCACGTGCTCTCACCAGCTGAGCCATCCTGCCACCTGTTGGCAGGTCAGTGGCCCATGTGGGAATCAAACCAGCGACCCTGTTGCTCAGAGCTCATGCTCTTAACCAACTGAGCCACTTGGCCAGCCTGAGGATTTTCTTGTTTTTACTGGAAGTTTCTATCTCTTGGGGGAGGGAGGTGAGACCAATTTACCTGGGAATCTGGTTTGAGTTCTGATTTCTGGGGTCAGGACCCATATCTTGCTCCACCTTGCAGGCTGGAGGACTGGAAAGTACTTCAGATTTGGGGCTGGGGCCTGGGATGCACAGTTTGGGGGTGGTGCAAGGCTACAAGGGGAAGTCAGTCTGGTAAACTCCGTTGGCAGAGCTTGGATTTGGACCCGAAGGCAATGGGAAGCCAGCTCTGGGTCTTAAACCAGGGGGTGACAGATCAGAGCTTGGGTTTTAGAAGTTCTGACTGTGCTTCAGAGAGGTTTGAAAAAGGCCAGTTGGGAGGCAGGTGGATGGAGGTGCCTCTTTTTCATCCTCGATTGGTTACCGTCGATAGTCACTGCCTCACACTCCAAGGTACCTGGTGCAGGTGAGTAGGCCTGCTGGGCACAGAGATCCACATGGAGCTAGGCTGAGGCCAGGCAGGGACTTTGCAGCCTTCACATCATCCTTGTGGGGGCTTCAGATCTACCACAGGCGCCTGTGTCTATAACAACCACCCACCTCACTTCCCTGGACATTTCCAATGCTCTGTCCTTTTGTTTGCACACTTTTCCTGTGTCATATTCGGTGTTCCCATTTTTGGGAAACAGGAGACTGCATGTTGTTCCACCCAAGGCCTGGATTGAGGTGGAGGTCAGAGACCGTGACCACCGCCAAGACTCTAAGACCCACGTGGGTAGCGGGAGCGGGCAGCCGGTGACAATGCACAGGACTTAGAGCCAAAACAGCGGCTGCAGGTCCTCCTTATGCCCCCAGCCTTCCTGTCTGGGCCTCCCCTTCCCACATTTGTAACTGGAGGTGATGATACCTGTCTGTGACATCACCTCGCGGACAGCAGAGCAGCCTGCACGCAATGACCGTTCGTGTTGGCTCTCCTTGTTGGGGGTCTCGGGAGAGAAGCAGGTGCACCGGGCGGGCTCTCTGAGGGAGAGGCAGGAAGACCACCAACCAGGCAGCCTGCCCTCGGGAGAGCTGGTGGGCGGAGTGCCGGCATTCGCAACGTTTTGGAGGCCAGGGTGCTCACATCAGAGTGGGAAGGTAAGGGTCCCTGTCTGCTGAGGTGTCCAGAGCATTAACGGAGACACTCCGCGGAGAGCAAGGCCAGGGCTGGGCCGGAAGCCCTAGCGCGCTGCCGCTCCCATCAACGGGAGAGACGCGATCCCAGAAGAAACGTTAGGGCCCTCGCTGGCCCTAGATTCCCGGAGGGGAGCTGTGCTCCTTGGGGGCGTCGCTACGGGGCGCGCTCAGGATGTGCGCATCCGAGGGGCACACTAGCACTTTCCTGTAGTGCCGTGATACTTCAGTGTTGAGAAAGGGCAGCAGGAGAACGGCCTGCGCCGGCCACCTTTGGGGTTAACGCTTAGAAGCAGGAAGCGCGCGCATGGCGCTGTCCCTTTAAGGCGTTGGACCTGCGCGAGGCATTCTGCGCCTCGCCGCTCCCCGTAGCGCCGCTCCGAGAGGCCGGCTTTGTGCGCTCGCTCCGCCCCGACGCCGCTCCGGCCCCTCGCGCACGCGCACTGCCGGCCCAGGGCCGCCTCGTCGAGCTCGGCCTGGCTCCCGCCCAGGCGGCGGCCGACGCGACTCCCGGAGCTCCCGCTCCCGCCCGCGGCGACCCGGCAGGTAAGCGGGGGCCGCCCGGCCTGCGGGCGCGCGCAGGGGGCGGGG